TTTACGAGATATTTTATATTTCATTGTGGCACATATTGACATAAAATATTAAATAATTCGTAAACTATTAATTTTTTGATAACCGTACCTTAATACTTTTATGAACAGAATAATGAGATGAATCAATTGGTGGAAAGAAAACACATAGTTGCTTATTTAAAAAATTATTCATTTTGCATACATATTTTTTTAAAGCAACTATGTGTTTTCTTTCCACTAATTGATTCATCTCATTATTCTGTTCATAAAAGTATTAAGGTATGGTTATCAAAAAATTAATAGTTTACGAATTATTTAATATTTTATGTCAATATGTGCCACAATGAAATATAAAATATCTCGTAAACTATTGGTTTTTTGATATCGCTACCTTAATACTTTTATATGCAGAATTAGAGGAATCATATTGTAAAAAAAATTCATATAATTCCATTTAAAAAAATGATCATGACCTTCAAATAACCTTGAAAATCGACCTGAAGGTAAAACCTGCACAGTTAGATGTCCCCCGTCGTCCTCTACAATTATTGTCTAAACCATTTTTTTGTATTTGGCGTATTTTTGGAGATATTTGGATCTGTCACTTAAAATGACTCACCCTGTATATATATTGTATATGTAACATATACTATAGTATGTAGAATACAATCTTCCTCAGAGAGGACGTTTTAGAATGTAGCCTAAGACATTAAAACACAAGACTATTTCTATTATAAAATATTTCTAGCTAATTATACACATAAAAATAATGCTATTTATTGAGTAATTATAAAGATAATAAGGAATATTAAAATAACAGATAAATTCATAGTTATCATTACAGATAGAAAAAGTAACGATTGTTACCGAAACAATAATTCCATTTAATTTTTAATGACACAAGTCGACACAATTGTCATTCTATCTTTCTTTTCGTGAGTGACAAAGACAGAACGATACTTGTAACGACTTGTATCATTAGATAGAAAGCACCCAAAGTAACGATAACAGAAAAAACAGTAACATTTTACTTTCCAACTTTGCCCATCGGCAAATTTGCTTAATTGTTCAGGAATAAGTAAGTATGTGACGCAACCACACACATTACACGTTATTACCTACTTCAATTCGATGATTCAAATCTTTGCGATTAAATGGTGACGCAATTAAAATCGTTCACGATTGACGTAATATTGAACGAATCATCCATCTCCACTTGTAAGCGTATACTCTAAGGTGCTTCGAGGTTTCGCACTTGTTAACGCTCGACGGCATCATTTCGTCCTTGTTTAATAGATATTTGATAGACAAGGATGAAATTAGATATATTCGCGAGCGTTGCAAACGTTAAAATGTGAAACGCATTTTAATTAGTGTCGTTTCGCTTGAATTCTTGCTTTCGAATTATAGCTACGGCAAAAAAGACCATCTCGCGTAATAACGCAATGCGGAATCGATTGTTTTCAAGGTCGAGAACTGAAGCGTACATACCGAAGTACATACCGTTTCGCGGACAAGTGTAATGTACGTGACTCATGTTGGATTTGCAAATGTATATCAGTCTGTAACTGCAAATTGTAATCATGTAGTTGTAATCATGTAACGAAATAATTTGAATCTTTTTGCTTTGCGATGAGGAAACGCGTTACGCGATGTTACACGTGTCGCTGTTCGATTTCTTAAGGGTGAAATCACACGGTGCGGAATAAAACTGCGGAATAGAGAATGCGTCAGCAACTAATCAGCGCTATTCAGAATATGAATTCTCTATTCCGCAGTCTTATTCCGTACCGTGTGATTTCACCCTAATTATTAACTTAATAATTTATAAATCCGGATTTGTTTTAGAAATAAAAGTCGATGTAATCGTACAATATTACTTTGCCAAAGAACTGCAACACATGCCATTATTTCTTCAAATCTTCAAATTGGTATTATACTTTTCTGCTTTTCTCCCAGCTTCTGGCAACATTGCAGGACTAGGACGGAATTATAAAAACGCCGCAACCGTTTGCGTGTGTGCGTGCGTGCACGACGTACGTTCAAGGTTATCTTATCTCACATATCTGTATAAGCCACATTGATTGAGGATATACATCCTATTCCTTAATTCCTCGCGAACGGGTAATTAAATTCTTAATGTAGTAATAAACACTACTTACAGAATTCTGAATAAGAGTAACTTCTCCTTCGTGACCCATTATTGAAACGTCAGTGGCGAATTTCCTTTTCAAAGAGCGAGAGCGTTACCAAACGTTACCAAGCGTTACTAATGATCACTAACGATTGCTGACGCTGACCGTTGCTGACGTCTGCGTCTGACGTTAAACTGTTAAAGGTTAAAGATCCATTTTCATGTGGCGAAGGCGAACAAAGGCGAACCAAGGCGAACCAAGGCGAACTGATAGCGTTTTCGGCCCGATCGGGTTTGCACTAATTTGGGTTGGATTAATCTTTCCTATTAGTTGACGTTACACGCTCTATATAATAGGAGAGCACAAAACGCCATTAATCCAACCCAGATTGATGCTCGGCCAGGTGGAAAACGCTATGAGGTGAAAACGCTGCGAAGGAATTCCCCACTCGCGATCAAAGCAGCATTCAAAGAAAGCTATTTGCTGTTCTATAGTATACGTAAAGCCTTATAGCGAATTCGATTGGACGCACTCAGTGCGCCCTGGTGCACATTAAAGCCGTCGTACACGAAATAACGTACAGATATGTTTATAAATAAACATAAAGATCGATTAAATCGTGAAATACTTAATACATTTTATTGTACTATTAGATAAAATATGTATTTCATAATTCGAAATATTTGCATTTCATTTTTATACTTAAATTAAATTAGTACAACGGCTTTAATATACACCAGTGCGCACTAGTTCTTCCAATCGAATTCGCCATTAAACACAATAGTAGGTCTGTTTTCTGTGGCTGAACTAGTGTACACTTTTGGAACTTAAAGTGAGATAGATATATGTTTGATATTTATCGAAAGCGAGAAAGAGAGTTCTAGTGCAGTCTAGTACAGGAACAGAAAACAGACCAAGTGTTAGGCCGGAATCAGACTACGCATTGAAGATTGAGGTTGAAGATTGAAGATTGAAATTTGACCAATAAGGACAAAGAAATTTTAGCTCCTTTCGTTTCGATTGGTCAAATCTGAATTTTTCAATCTTCAACCTCAATCTTCAACGCGTAGTCTGATTCCGGCCTTACGTCCTGGGGTTCTTTCGGCGGGTAACCGAGGTTCGAATTAACCCGAGACTACTATGATAGTATGAAGGTAAAATTTGAGGTAGTGGAGTAGCTAATTAACTTGTCCAATTCATTTGTTATTAATTAGAGTTGTGCGCTCGATACAGTGATGATAGTAGATTATGGGGAGGTCCAGGGTGTATCATCTGTCCTACCTAAATATGAGAGAAACCTCTCTAATATTTCCGGGCAATCGCGACAATTCGACACGTGATGCACGGTAGCTAACGACACAGAGCATGCGTCACAATTTTCAAACCGTTCAGAAAATCTTAAGTGGACGTAGTGTCATAACACGCCGAGATATTTACTCTTTTCGGAGGCCGAAAGCAAGGTGTAACATTCTGGTCACTTAAGGCCGTAGCACAGACTCTTGCATAACGCATAAAAAGAGTCTGTGCTGCGGCCTTAATTCCGCTACTTTTGTTAAGCCGATAAAACAATGATGATGCGCAACAGGCGCTTCGTACCCATGTAAGGTTCTCAACTGGCGACGAGAAATAGCCAAGTGCGGGTGCGGGTGTACTGGGCACATGCTACGCGGGATCGGATTCGCAGCTCGTCGTGACCGAAATAGATTAATTAATAATTTCTTACCTTTTTTTTTATGAAGTTCTGGGTGGCGATGACGGGTCGTGAGAGGATGAGTGCGGGCGGCTTCCAATTTCCCTAGTGTCTCAGCTCTGCCATTGGTTCTCCCGAGTCCGTGGTGATTGGATTGCGGTTTATTAACACGCGACCGAGTTTCATTAGTTAAAGTGTTCGTATAATTCAACGCGACGGATTATGGAGAACAGGTTTTATTCAGAGATTTTATTCGGATTTAACAAACCACATGAATTTATTATTTGTAGTTTCGTACACAATCAAAGGTTACACATTTTGGCTTAATATTAAGGATGATTTACATTAACGCGGGAATTGAATTACGCTTAAAATTTAGAATTAGAATTACTCTAGAACTTGAGTGAAGAATTTGAAACGTGCACGCGACATGTGAGAGCTTAAGGTCAATGGCTTACATGTCCTCGGAGGTATTCTAGACCCGGACTCGCGACTCTAAGACTGTTACTTAACGACTGCTTTTTATTCTAGTGCCCTGAGGGCAAATTTTAAGGGCGTCCCCTTCCATCGTTGCTCCACTGAGGCACGCGTGGTGGGGAAGGCGTCAGATACTGTCCTGGCGGTCTCGTGTACTACGCCAATTTACAGGAAGTGAAAAGTTCGTTGTCTTTCTTTGGATGGTTCTGGACAAAAATTTAACAATGCCGCAGATGTGACAATAGGCACAAGCAACAGGGAAACGAGCCGTCCAATCAGAGCTCTGGGATATAATATCGAATTTATACCCCGGGGTATCAATCATGAAACTTTATCCCTAGGATGGAAAGTGAAAAGTGAAAATTTTAATCATTGAAGTTAAAGGAGAAATTTTACACTTTTCAATTTTCATCCTAGGAAAAAAGTTCCATGATTGACCCCCAGAGGTTGTGTTTCGATAGCTGTATCGAAAATTTTCTTTTTAGTTACAAGGTTGGTAGCGCTGTAACTAACCTAGGCTGTGTTCCACTTAACGCTCGCAACGCTCGTGAGCATCGTTTGTCCTTGTTTAACATTTGATAAACGACAAGGATGAAATGATTCCACGAGCATTGTGAGCGTTAAGTGGAACGCAGCCATAGCTGTGTTCCGTAGAGATCAGCTGACACCGTAGTTTGCATTTATTTTATCCTGTATTCAATCAAAGCGGATCTTAATATTAAATACATAATTCTTTGTGAATTTATAACATTCTGATTCTACATATTGCATGACCGAATATAGGATTCCTTTATTTAATTAAATTTATTCT